TTAGGGATTTCTGGGAGATGCAGAAGATGCAGATAGTGTGTAGTTAGGCCTAAACACAGATGTGGGTCTGCCAGTGGCTTCAGAATCTCAGAATCTCAGGGCTTCATTTTTTCATATCTTCACTCGGAACCAAGGTTAAAGTGGACGCTTTTCCTTCTTTAACTGTCTTCTAGTTCCTTGGTATTTGGAACAGCATCATAAGCATCACCTGGGAGCTCGTTAAAAGTGCAAGAATCACAAGTCCCACCTAAAACTACTCAGAATGTATGTTTTAACAAAATCCTCCAGGTGGTTTTTATCTATGTTTTAAAGCAGCTGGGTTTGATGGCTCACACCTGTAATCCCAGCACGTTGGGAGGCTGAGGCAAAAGGATTGCTTGAGCTCAGGAGTTCAAGACCAGTCTGGGCAACATAGTGAGACTCCCCCGCCCCCATCTCCACAAAAAATAAAAAAATTAGCTGGGCATGGTGGAGCATAGCTGTAGTCCCAGCTACTGAGGAGGCTGAGGCAGGAAGATGTCTTAGCCCAGAAGATCAAGGCTACTGTGAGCCATGATTATGCCACTATACTCAAGTCTGGGCAACAGAGCAAGACCATGTCTCAAAAAATAACAAAAATCTTCCAGTTTACTTTCTTTTCTCAGTATGTGAGCCTCCCTGAGTCCTGGCCTCTAATATGCTTTCTGTTTTGCTTGGGCTTAAGAGACTGTCATCTCCCTGCTGTCCTGAAAGCTCTATATCCCAAGCTATAGGCAAGAAAGACAGAAGGCTGGGTGCCATGGCTCACACCTATACTTACAGTACCTTGGGAGGCCAAAGCAGGTGGATCACTTGAGATCAGGAGTTTGATACCAGCCTGGCCAACATGGCAAAACCCTATCTACTAAAAATACAAAAATTAGCCCGGCACATTGGTGGGTGTCTGTAATCCCATCTACTTGAGTGATGAGGCACAAGAATCACTTGAATCTGGGAAGTGGAGGTTGCAATGAGCTGAGATCATGCCACTGCCCTCCAGCCTGGGGGACAGAGTGAGACTCTGAAAAAAGAAAAAAAGACCAGCCTGGTCAACATGATGGAACCCCATCTCTACTAAAAATGTAAAAAATTAACTGGGTGTGGTGGCTAATATTTTTACTCTGTCTCAAAAAAAACAGGAAATGTAGCTGTTTCACTTTGTTTACCTCACTGGACTGTCTTCAGTTTATCATTATTTACTTTCATAAAGGTTCTATATTTGATTTAGAAGGGATTTTGTTTTACCTTTTTAGGTATTTTATGGCTGTAGGGTTTTGGCATTTCTGATTTCTCAAATTGCCAGAGACAAAAGCTTTTAGTCGTGTGTTGTTTTTGTATATGTGTATGTATGTGTGAGAGAATCATTCTTTTGTTTTTATTATTTCTTCTTTTAGAAGGTTTTCTTCTTGTCTATTTTGTCCATGTAAACACAATTCTAAATAGGTTTGGATAAAGTCAAACCACCCCTTGAAGTAGAAGACCTGGGCTTTGTGGTTATTTCCTTACACTGTTAAAAGATGGCTTTTACTTTAAGTTTGTCAGCTATTTCCTGTGTAGTCGAGGTAGTCAGAAGTCTGCTGATAGCCAAAATGAAATACAAACATTAATACAGTTACTATTGCCCAACACATCCTATTTAATAAGCAGAATTAACAGGAGTGGTCCTTGGACTTAGCTCCTCATCTGACACGCCCTTGTTTCTTATGATCTGCCTTTGAAGCTACTTGTATGTGCTTCACTACCAACACCCCTGGCAGGTTGATGTGCACACACTTGTGTCCAAAGCTATAAAGCCTGCATGTACCAAGGACCACAGTGTCCCTTCTTGTCTTGTACTATACAGTAATGAGGGCCATTATCTTCCCCCGTGTTCTGTCACAGTTACCTGACTACAAAAATAGTTCTGTTTATGTTTCCAGTGGCCTCAGAGTCCCTTGAGAAAACTGGTCTTTCAACTTTTCCTTGTAAACCCTCTTTCTACAGATAAAGTCTTTAAGAAGTCTGCAAGGTCATATTAGGGACCAGTTTCTCAAACTTACTCTTTGCTATTCTTCCCTTTTCCCAAGATACAGTTTTCTGTTCTTCACCAGAAACCCTTATGCAAATTAACTTATGCATCCCAGAGTTACGCTCAAGTTATTGATGCCCTTACTCACTATACACATACACAGACATACACATATTCATTTATCTTAACTGTATGCATATGGATTTGTGTCTATTTCTTGAAACGAGGTAGGATTATGTAGTGATGGCTAGAATATGAGAAAAATATGTGTAATGAAAAAACATCCTAATTATGTGTAGTGCTATCAAGGGCTTACAAATAATTCCATCGAAATAACAGTAGATACTGTTTGTCACTACACTAAATGCATAAATTGTCACATTTATTCAGCAATCTCATGTGATAGGTACTGTGATTATCTATTTAGAGGGAAGGAAACAGACAGGGAAACTTGACCAACGTCAAGCCCTAGTAAGTGGTTGCATTTGTTTCCTATTGCCGCTATAACATATTATCACAAATTTAGTGGCTTAACACATTTTACAGTTTTGGAGATCAGGAGTCTGAAAGGGGTCTCACTGAGCCAAAACCAGGGAATTAGCAGGGCTGTGTTCCTTCTGGAGGCTGCATCCATTTCTTTCTCTCTTTAAGCTTCTGGAGGCTGCCCACATTCCTTAGCTTACCTCCTTCCTATATCTTCAAAGCCAGCAACATTGGGTCAGGTCTGTCTTCCAACTCTCTCTTCCATTTTAAAGGACCCTTGTGGTTACATTGACCCACTGTGTGATCCTAGATAATCCCCCTATTTTAAGGTCATCTGGTTAGCAACCTTAATTCTGTCTGATACCAAAATTCTTTACCATGTAACCAAACCTATTCACAGATTCTGGGTATTGGATTCTGATTATCTTTGAGGCCACTATTCTGCTTGCCACAGGGTTGTAGCTGGAACTTGTACCCAGATTTTTCTGCTTCTAAAGCAATTTCTTTAACAAGCCGAAAACCCTTAACACTGATCACTTTTTTCCCTGTAGTTTTGCCCTTATTGAACATTATCTCAAGAAGGGTTTGGATAATTTTCATAGCACTGAAAGTTTAACTCTCTACAAACTAGAGAGAAAATTATCTCATTTACACATTGCAGACACCCAGTGTATTTTAAAATTCCAAGTTTTATTTTAGATTCGGGGGTACATGTGTAGGTTTGTTACCTAGGTATATGTGTGATGCTGAGATTTGGGATACAAATAATCCTACCACCAAGGTAATGACCCAAAAGTTAGTTTTTCAACCCTTGTACTCCCTCCTCCCCTCCCCCATAGTAGTACCCAGTTTCTAATGTTGCCTTCTTTATGTTCCTGAGTATCCAGTGTTTCACTCTATAGAACTATGCATGAGAATATGCGATATTTGGTTTTCTGTTCCTGCATTAGTTCCCTTAGGATAATTGCCTCCAGCTGCATTCATGTTGCCACAAAGGACATTATTTCATTATTTTTATGGTTGCATCATATTCTATGGTGTATATGTACCACATTTTCTTTATCCAGTCCACCATTGATGGGCACCTGGGCTGATTCTGTGTCTTTGCTGTTGTGAATAGTGCTGCAGTGAACATGCAAGTGCATGTGTCTTTTTGGTATGAAAAATGAATTGCTTTCTGGGTATATACCCAGTAACAGGACTGCTGGGTGAAATGATAGTTCTATTTTAATTACTTTGAGAACTCTCCAAACTGCTTTCCACAATGGCTGAACTAAGGTACATTCCCAATAGCAGTATGTAAGCATTTCCTTTTCTCTACAGCCTCACCAGCATCTGTTGTTTTTTTAACTTTTTAATAATAGACATTCTGACTGATGTGACATGGTCTGTCCTTGTGGTTTTAATTTGCATTCATCTAGTAATTGTGATGTGGAGCATTTTTTAATATGTTTGTTGGCCACTTGTATGTTTTCTTTTGAGAAGTGTCTCTTCATGTCTTTTGTCTATGTTTTAGTGATGTGGTTGTTTGCTTGTTAAGTTCCTTATGGATTCTGGATATGACACTTTTCTCAGATGTGTAGTTTGCAAATATTTTCTCCTGTTCTATAAGTTGTATGTTTACTTCACTCTGTTGATAGTTTTTTGTTTTGTTTTGCTGTACAGAAGCTTTTAGTTTAATTAGGTCCCATGTGGCAATTTTTGTTTTTGTTTCAATTGCTTTTGAGGACTTAGGTATAAATTCTTTCCCAAGGTCAATGTCCAGAATAGTGTTTCCTAGGTTTTCTTGTAGGATTCTAGCAGTTTGAGATCTTACATTTAAATCTTTAATCCATCTCAAGTTAATTTTTGTATATGATGACAGATAGTGGTCTAGTTTCATTGTTCTGCATATAGCTGCCAACTATCTCAGCACCAGTTATCAAATAGGGAGTTCTTTCCCCATAAAACAATGTTTTTTTAGAGACATGGTCTCACTATGTTACCCAGACTAGAGTTGAACTCCTGGACTCAAGCAATCCTCCCTCTTTAACGTCCTGCATAACTGAGACCAAAGGTGCATGCCACTGTGCCCAACTTGATGTATTCTTAGTTTTAGTTGACAGAAAAAGAGGACCATAATTAGGATTTAAATATAGCCACTTGTGACTTTTAGTGATTTGAATTCTAAATATTGTCCTTGAAAAATTTATACCACTAAGTTACTCTTAATATTCAAACTCCTTTTTTTTGTTTTTTTGGCATTGCTTCAGATAGGAATTACTGTTTTAATGTAAGTTTCTGCAATGTTGATAATGATTAACTAATTTATTTCATAGCCCTTCTTTTCAAACTGGTAGTCATCCAGGAAGGGAAATGGCTACCTAAAGAAGAATTTCCGATCTGTATCTTTTTGTACTTTGAGAAATGTGAATGTATAAACTAAAAACAAACAAATAAAATTTATAAATGTTTGAAGTGGAATATTTTTCTGTTATCTCTACTTTTCTAGGATCACCCCTTTTGTGTCATTCTCTGGGGAAAACAAGTTCTTCTCAAGGAGGAAAGTCTGAACTTGTCAAACACTCCCTTAAGAAGCCAAAGTTACCAGAAGGTCGTTTTGATGTACCAGAGGGTTCCCACTTAGAGAAAGAACCACTGGAAAGTAAGTATAGTTAAGCACCTCTCAATTTTTAAAGTATCAAGGAAAATGTTTTAGTTATTCAGAAAATGAATGAAAGAAAAGAAATATGTTATTGCTTGAATTCTTTAGTTATAAAGCATATTTCAACAATGAGTAAAATCACCATATTGACCAACAATACATGTGGGTTTCTTAATAAAAAAAATTTTCAAGACTAACAGGTATTTGATTTGTTTGTTTTATTTATTTTACTTCATTATTCACATAAAATAAACAAGTTCACATAAAAATATATATAAAAATATATTTGTTGATACAAATAACATGTTATTTGTATAATATACACATTATAGATATATAAAGTGGCTGTATTTACAAATAACATGATGTTATTTGTATCAAAGAAGGTCTTAACTTATGTGAATAATGAGGTATAATAAATACAACCACTTTATATATCTATAATGTGTATATTATATATATAAAGAACTTCAATAACTCAACAAAAAATCAAAAATAGCAAAGCACTTGAGTCTCAACTTATATATTTTGTTATGAATAATGAGGTATGATAAATAAGAAATATATGTGTGTATTATATATATATGTGTCTGTGTGTGTATGTGTGAACTCTAATAATGGACAAAAAAAATAAAAAATAGCAAAGTACTTGATTAGACATTTCTCCAAAGAAGGTATACAAATGTACAAGTGGCCAGCAAACACATGGAAAGAAGCTCAGCATCATTATCATTAGGGAAATGCAAATGAAAAATATGAGATATTACTTCACACCCACTAGGATAGCTATAATAGAAAAAAATGGAAAACAACAGGTGTTGGGAAGGATGTGGAGAAATTGAAACCTTCATGCATTTCTGGTGGGAATATAAAACGTTGCGGCCACTGTGGAAAACAGTATAGCTATTCCTCAAAAAGTCACACATAGAACTACCATTTGACCCAGTAATTCTACTCTTAGGTGTATATCTAAAGGAATTGAAAGCAGGGACTTGAACAGGTATCTCTATACCTATGTTCATTGTATTATTAACAGTAGCCAAAAGGTGGAAACAACCCCATGTTCATGAACAAATGAATGGTTACGCAAAATGTAGCATATACAGACAGTGGAAAACCATTCAGCCATAAAAAGCAATTGAATTTTAATATATGCTACAACATGGATGGACCTTGAAAACATATAAGCTTAGTGAAATAAGCTGGACCCAGAGGGGCAAATATTTTATGATTCTACTTATATAAAGTACCTAAAACAGACAAATCCATAGAGACAGAAAGTAGAATAGAGGTTATCAGAGACTCAGGGGACTAAGGGGGAAGTTACTGTTTAGTGGGTACAGAGTTTATTGTGGGGATGATGAAAACATTTTAGGTATAGATAGTGGTGATGGTTGTACAACCCTGTGAATATATTTTTGTTGTTACTTTTGTTTTTGAGATAGAGTCTCATTCTTTCACCTAGGCTGGAGTGCAGTGGCCTGATCTCGGCTCACTGCAACCTCTGCCTCCTGGGTTCATGCAATTCTCCTGTCTCAGCCTCCTGAGTAGCTGGGATTACAGATGCACCACCACGCTGGCTCACTGTTGTATTTGTAGTTGAAATGGAGCTTCACCATGTTGGCCAGGCTGGTCCTGAACTCCTGACCTCAGGTGATCCACCTGCTTCAGCCTCCCGAAGTGCTGGGATTACAGGCATGAGCTACTGCACCTAGCCGTGAATGTATTTGATACTGCCAAATTGTACGCTTACAAATGGTTAAGTGATAAGTACTATTTGTATATATTTTACCACAATGAAAAAAGAAGAAAGCAAAAAGCAGCACATTTTATAAGCTAATCATCTATTTGACATAATGGTAGGAAGGCATTCAACGTAAGTTTTGTATCACTCAAGTTAATGTTGAACCTTGCATTGCTTAGAAACTATACTGACAAACATCACCAAATAAAACAGGTGCTCTTCGATCCTTGTTTTATTTGAACAATCCACAATCTTTGACAGTGTTAACAGTTCCTTCTGGAAATCTCCTGCCTTGATTTCCATTATGCTTTCCTTAGTTTCATTTTGTGTGTGTGTGTGTGTGTGTGTGTGTTTTGTTTTGTTTTTTGAGACAGGGTTTTGCTCTGTTGCCCAGGCTAAAGTTCAGTGGCGTGAGGCTCTCTGCAGCCTCAACCTTCCTGGCTCAAACTATCCTCCTGCTTTAGTCTCCTGAGTAACTGAGACCACAGGCACATACCACCATGCCCAGCTAATTTTAAAAACTTTTTTGTAGCGATAAGGTCTCGCCATGTTACCCAGGCTGGCCTCAACTCCTGGGCTCAAGCGGTCCTCCTGCCGCAGCCTCCCAAAGTGCTGGGATTACAAATGTGAGCCACCATACCTGGCATGCTTTATTTAGTTTCTCACTCTGTTTCTTCAACCATTTCTTCCTGGGCCCCTTTTAAAGATCCTCTGCTTCTGTCCAACACCTAAATGTGAGTATTTGCCAGGCCTCTGTTCTTAGCCCCCTAAGCATTTCTAGGGAGATTTCATATTTCCCTAAAATGATTCGATTGATTGAGGCAGAGTCTTACTCTTGTCACCGAGGCTGGAGTGCAGTGGTACTGTCACAGCTCACTGAAGCCCCAACTTCCTGGGTTCAAATGATCTTCCCTACCCAGCCTCTCTTGTAACTGGAGCTACAGACACACACCACCACATGCAGTTAATTTTTCTATTTTTTTGAAGAGACAGAGTCTCACTATGTTGCCCAGGCTGGTCTTGAACTCCTGCGCTCAAACGATGCTCCCACCTCAGCCTCCCAAAGTACTGAGATTACCGCACCCGGCTTAAAGGGATTTTAAATATCACTTACGTGTTGGTGATTCACACGTTCATACTTCTAATCAGACCTCTTTTCTGAGTGTCACTCTCCTGTCTCCATTTGCCTCCTGAATATCTTTCTTTGCATATTCCAAATGTCTCAAAATTAATATTTCCAAAACTAAAGTAATCCTGTACTCATTGTTCCAACTCACCTTCAGCCCTCCCACCAGCCTGACCTCATATCCTCTTCTGGATTTCCAGTCCACCCCGTCTGCCAAGTTACCCGAGCCCAAAATCTGGGGATAATCCTTCACTCCTGCCTCTTCCTTTCTCCTGTGACAGATCACTAACCAAGTCCTGTTCCTTCTACCCTCTTAACATCTCCCAAATGTATTCCCTCTTACTCATCCTACCAATAAGACCCAAATTCAAGCTGTCAATAGCTCACTGGTCTCCTAACAAGCCTCTCTGCTTCCTTGTTTCCTTCCTTCTAGTCTTGTCTCCCTGCCTCTAGTATCTACTTTATTCTAAGAAAACTGTGTAGGTTGTCTCCTTGAAAAGAGTAGATTATTAAGATGATAAAGGAAAATGTAGCTAGGCACGCTGCTTGATATAAAGATGAATAAGAAGGAAAGATGATGTGAATAACTATGAGCAGGACATCATATGCTAACTAGTGTGAGAGATACACAAAAAGATCAGAGAAAAGTAAACAAAAGAGAGCTGGGGTCTAGGGAAAAATAATTTTTTTTTTTTTTTTTGAGATGGAGTCTTGCTCTGTCACCAGGCTGGAGTACCATGGCACGATCTCGGCATACTATAACCTCTGCCTCCTAAGTTCAAGTGATTCTCCTGCCTCAGCCTTCCAAGTAGCTGGGATTACAGGCACCCGCCACCATGCATGGCTTAGTTTTTGTAGTTTTAGTAGAGACAGGATTTCACCATGTTGGTCAGGACAGTCTCAAACTCCTGATCTCAGGTGATCCACCTGCCTTGGTCTCCCAAAGTGCTGGGGTTACAGGCGTGAGCCACCATGACCGGCCAGAAAAATAAAATTTTTATAAGTAGATAAGGTATGTTAAGGAGAATATCTCAAAATAGCTGGAGAAAGTTATGGTCAAAGAGGAAGAGTCTGCAGAACATTAACACTTGCAAGACACAGCTAATGGGCCTCTTTGGCTTCAGCATAAATTTTATATATATATATATATATATATATATATTCAGTTAGTACAGGGGTGTCCAATCTTTTGGCTTTCCTGGGCCACGTTGGAAGAAAAATTGTCTTGGGCCACACATAAAATACACTAGCACTAACAATAGCTGATTCACTAAAAAAGAAATTACACAAAAACCAATGTTTTAAGAAAGTTCATGAATTTGTGTTAGGCCACTTTTCAAAACCATCCTGGGCCACATGCAGCCCATGGACTGTAAGTTGGATAGGCTTGAATTAATCGAATGTAAAGCTAGAAACGCAGGTTCAGCTCAAATCTGGGAGGGCCTGCACTGCCAGGTTACAGTGTAAGGGCTTTATGAGGAAATGTATTTGGATATAGATTATTTTAATTAGCTTTATTAAATATAATATGCATATAATAAAATTCACCCATGTTAAATATATGGTGAGTAAGATGTTTTTTGGTTGGTTGGGTTTTTTTTTTTTTGAGACGGAGTCTTGCCTTACTCCGTTGCCCAGGCTGGAGTACAGTGGCGTGGTCTCTGCTCACTGCAACCTCTGCCTTCCAGGTTCAAGCCATTCTCCTACATCTGCCTCCCGCGTAGCTGGGATTACAGGTACCCATCAACATGCCTGGCTAATTTTAGTATTTGTAGTAGAGATGGGGTTTCACCATGTTGGCCAGGCTGGTCTCGAACTCCTGACCTTGTGATCCACCTGCCTCAGCCTCCCAAAGTGCTGGGATTACAGGCGTGAGCAACTGTGCCCAGCTAGTGAGTTTTAACAAATGTTTACAGTCATGGAGACCACACAAAGTATAAAATAGTTCTGTCCCCTAAAGAGGCACCAGGCAGTTCATCCTCTCTCCACCTCCTCCCAGCAACCATTGATCTGTTCTCTATCATTGTAGTTTTGCTCATTCCAGGATTTTATATAAATCAAACTCTACAATATGTAATCTTTGGTGTCTGGTTCCTTTCACTTAGTATAATGTGGAAGAGGGATTCTGTTGCATTAGTCTAAAATGCGACACCAAGAGCAGGAACCAGGGTGCTAACGGTAAGAACAAAAAGTTTCAGAAAACTGTAGGTTATTATAAGGGCAAAAATTAGGTTAAACAAATGTGAGGAAGAAGAGACATGGAAATATAGGAGGTTGTGGTCAGAAGAGTGCTCACAAGAGTCTGGGATTTGAAGAAGGAACATACTCAAAAAATAATAAACTCCAGTGGACGGCAGAAGTAGACATGAAAGTCAGGAAAGGGATTGGTGACCTCCGTAGCCTCGGAATGTTGATATTAGGGATGATGGGGAGAGGGAGATGAAACTATGAACCAGATATTGATCCCATCCAAAAAGATAGAAGAATCTGAGTTTATTGTAAGACTGGAGAAAAGCACTGGATAAGTAAATGTTATAGAATTCCAAAAAGAATGGCTATAGAGATGTAGCACTGGAATGAAAGGCTGGAAATAGCGGTGAGGAGAAGGGACATCTTGACCTGTTCTTTCTTCCCCAGTGCTATGGACTGAATTATGTCCCCTCAAAATTCATTTGTTAGAGCTCTAACCCCCCATGTGATGGTATATGGAGATGGGGCCTTTGGGAGATGATTAGATTTACATCTTGAGAGTAGGGTAACCCTTTAAGGGATGGAACTATTTTACACTTTGTGTTATTTACTTGACTGTAAACATTTGTTAAAATTTACTGAACTGCGTACTTAAAATGGGTGAATTTTATTATAAGCAGACAATACTTTAATAAAGCTGATGGTAGTCTCCTCATGGTGGGAATAAGAAGAGATACCAGAGAGCTTGCTGTCTCTCTTTCTCTGCCATGTGAAGACATAGTGAGAGGCAACCATCTGTAAGCCAGAAAGAAAGCCCTCATGAGAACCACCCATGCTAGCACCCTGATTTCAGCCTACCAGCCTCCAGAACTGTGGGAAAATAAATTTCTGTTGTTTTCTCTACCTAGTGTATGATATTTTGTTATGCCAGCTTGAGCTAAGACATCCAGTGAGCCACAGAGATAAGTGAGAAAGAAGAACTTCTATTAGACCTTCAGGGGAAATCATAGAGTAGGAAAAAGCCAACTTGCATTACAGTTAAAGCATGGAATTCTTTAGAAAATAGAGTGATGATGAGTATGAGGGAGAGTTTATTCACAATATAACATTAATAAAAGAATGAATATTTGAAAAATGTTCAGGGTAAATTCTGTATCATTTTTCTTTTGCCTAGAGAGGGGCTTTATGATTTTGGTGATGATCATTTAGTTTTCAGAGATATAGTTTGGGTAATCATTCTCCTGCAGTTCCCCCGTGCTGTGCAGGATAAAATAAAATCCATATGCCTTTTCTTCTATTAATCTGTCTTTTGTCAGTTGATTTTCAGCAAACCTTCAGAGGCCAAGGGGAGTTTTTCTAAGTGACCCTGGGGTTTGGATGAAGCAGATGTGGGTTTGAACTGGAGCTCTCAGAGGCTTCTGCTCTCTGGGTTTCAGTTTCCTTCTAACACCTGCCTTAGGATGCCCTCGTGAGGAGAAAATGAGATCATGGAGCACTTTGTACCTTCCCTTTCTAGCCTTGCCAGCGTTTGTTATTCTTGTATGTATTTGTTTGTTTGCCCTTTTTCCAGCCTGCTTCAGTACTCTGTAAAACCTGTGAGAAAGGGGCCTTGTATTTCATGGTCACTACTGTATCCCTTACCCCATCTTTACATAGCATAGGGCCTGGCAGAGTAATAGTGGAATAAATGAATGACACTGTCTGCTTACAGGATTGCCATGAAAATAAGAGGAAATATCTTCATTCATATGATGTGTATAAGTATCCTCTGTGGGCCAGACACTGAAACAGCGATGGATAAACAGAAATATTTTACCATAGCGAAGCTTAACATTTTAGTGGGAGAGACAGAAAATAATCAATTTTTAAAATATACTAAGTTAGTGATAATTGCTGAAGAGAATTCAAAGGTGGGAAGAAATGGGAAGTGTTGGGAGGGTGACCACAATAAATAAATAGATATAGTTTAAGAATTAAGGGCCAGGCGCAGTGGCTCACGCCTATAATCCCAGCACTGTGGGAGGCTGAAGTGGGAGGTCCTTTGGGGTCAGGAGTTTGATACCAGCTTGTCCAACATAGTGAAACCCCATCTCTACTGAAAATACAGTAATTAGCTGGGCCTGGTGGTATGTGCCTATAGTCCCAGTTACTCAGGAGGCTGAGGCAGGAGAATTGCTTGAACCCAGGAGGTGGAGGCTGCAGTGAGCCAAGATCACACCACTGCACTACGCCAGCCTGGGTGAGAGAGCTAGACTCCCATCTCAAAAAACAAGAAAAAACAGAGAATTAGAGCTCTAATAGTTGGTTCCTCTCTTGTTTTTTTTCCATATACAGAGCAGTACAATGTATGGACTGAGAACAAGATTGCAGCCAGGATGTCTGAATTCAAACTCAGTTTTATCACTTAGAAGCTGTGTGATACAGAGCAACTTTCTTAACCATTTTTGCCTTATTTTTTCATCTATAAAAGTGGAACAATAATTGTTCTCGTCCCCTAGATTATTAGGAAGATGAAATGAATTCGCGTGTATAAGGTGCTGATAATTGAGCCTGACTTATGATGGGGATTCTTACTATGGACACATGGTATTAAGAATAATAATCACCATTATGCTTATAAATGGCAGTACCAGCCAGCCAGTTGCTGAAACAAAAACCCTATGATGAGGAACAGTAATTATCTAGTTAAGATTGGCATTCCTATGCACCAAGCACCATGCTAAACCCTTTACATGGATTACTTGTTTAATTATCAACACAGTGAGGGAAGTATGATTGTTCTCCCCATTTTACTGTTCAGAAAACTGGCATTAAGTCAAAGGACTCCTTCAAAGTAGTCTTATTTCAAGATCTTTCAGGTCTTATGAATTTATAGTTTGTATTCTCTTCTCAAGCTCAGGAAAAATAATCACATTTACAGTTCATTTAAAGCCTGCGTGGTAACCTGGTTACTAAGATCTAGCCTATCATGCAAGCCTGTCTTTAAAATTGACAATAGGCTGGGCTCAGTGACTCTCACCTGTAATCCCAGCACTTTGGGAGGCTGAGGTGGGTGGATCATTTGAAGTCAGAAGTTCAAGACCAGCCTGGTCAACATGGTGAAACCCCATCTCTACTAAAAATACAAAAACTAGCAAGGCTGCTGTCACACACCTGTAATCCTAGCTACTCAGGAGGCTGAGGCAGAAAGATCACTTCAACCCAGAAGACAGAGGTTGCCATGAGCTCAGATCACACCATTGCAGTCCAGCCTGGGCGACAGAGGGAGACTCTGTCTCAAAAATAATAATAAATAAATAAAATAAAATAGACTATAATCCTTTTCCTACCTCCATTGACTGCTTTATTTATATCTTGTTTTCCTTAGAATTTCCAGATGATGTTAATCCAGTGACCAAAGAAAAAGGTGGACCCAGGGGCCCAGAACCTACCCGATACGGAGATTGGGAACGGAAAGGACGCTGTATTGATTTTTAAGTCACGTATTCTTTAACCTCAGTATTGTTTTCTGAATGTGTACATCTGAATTAACTTATTTCTGATTATTTTCTTTCTTTATGTCCTTCATGTCATGTAGTTTCCATAATGTGTTTAAATATATATACGATAGCTTTGGAAGAAAATATGCTGCTATAAATTAGGAAAGGGAAAATATTTTTTCATTTACATATGTTAATTTAATTAAGTGTAGAATTTTTTTTTTTTTGAGACATTGTCTCACTGTGTTGCCCAGGCTGGAGTGGAATGGCACTATCCCAGCTGCAGCAACCACCCCACCAGGTTCAAGCAATTTTCCTGCCTCAGCCTCCTGAGTACTGGAATTACAGGAACCCACACCACACCTGGCTAATTTTTGTATTTTAAGTAGTGATGGGGTTTTGCCATGTCAGCCAGGCTGATCTCAAACTCCTGACCGACCTCAGGTGATCCACCTGCCTTGGCTTCCCGAAGTGCTAAGAATACAGGAATGAGTCACCACGCCCATCCTATAAATGATTTTTAGAGCTGTAGGCCTTTACTTCATCATTTTTCAGTTTAAATTAGTTGCTTACAAAATACACAAATAAAATAATTTAAAAAAAATGATTGTGTTGCTGTGCACTAGGTGATAGTGGCTTTTAACATGAGAGTTAAATAATGTGTTATAGTTTGAGATCACAAAAATAACAGAAAATCTTTAACTTGGTTGGATCCAGTTAATTACTTACTCAGTTACTTGAGCTCAAATTCTGACTCTACCTCTTACTACCTATGTGACCTTGGATAACTTATTTAACTTCTCTGTGCTTCAATACCTTATGTATAAGTTGGAAATAATAATACTTCTGATGCTGGTAGGCTGGATGAGGTCCCCAAACACTGGTGGGACCTCATCTCCAGCCGATATCCAGGCTCTTGACACCATGATGAGAAGGAATTCAAGGACAAGTCAGAAAATAATGAAAGCAAAGTGAAAAAGTACACACTCTGCTGGGTGCGGTGACTCACATCTGTAATACCAGCACTTTGGGAGGCCAAGGTGTGTGGATCACTTGAGGCCAGGAGTTTGAGACCAGCCTGGCCAACATGGCAAAACCCCGTCTTTACTAAAAATACAAAAATTAGCTGGGGTGGTGGTGCAGGCCTTTAATCCCAGCTATTTGGGAGGCTGAGGCATGAGATTCACTTGAACCCAGGAGGTGGAGATTGTAGTGAGCCAAGATTGTGACACTGCACTCCAGCTTGGGCAACAGAGTGAGACCCTGTCTCAAAAAAAAAAAAAAAACAAAAAAAAAACAAAAAAACTACACATTCAAGAAAGAGAAGTGTGGGCATCCTCAAGAGTCACTCTGGAGTTTAGGGCTTCTACCTTTATGTGTTTCTATAACCAGGAGGTGGAATATTCATGAGGATTCCTGGAAAAAGGTGAAGATTTATTGGAATTGTGGTGCCAATGATTTTTACACCAAATACCAGTGTTCCCAGAATAGTCATGGCACTGGTCTTTGTGTGCTTTAGGATGTTAATGAGCATATAATGAGGTACTAAGTGAAACCCAGGTCGAATCCAGTGTTGTGCTGGGTCTAATAGGTCTTAGCCAACTTGGCTCACATCCTGGTTTTTCAGGATCTCATCAGCCCCTAGTTTATGCAGCTATTTCAACAGTTTCCTTTTTGCTAATCATGTAAAACTGCTGCCTGGAATTTTCTGTTCTCCTGCGACCACCCCATATTATTCCTGTCTCACTTTTACTTCACAGAGAAGTTGAGAAGATTAAATGAATAATAACATGTATTAGTCAGGATTCTTCAATAGGAGAGAGAGAGATTATGTGGAATTGACTCATGCAGTTCTGGAGGCTGAGAAGTCCCATGATAATGCCATCTGCAAGCTGAAGACCTGAAGACCAACAAAAGCCAGTGGTGTGATTCAGTCTGAGTCCAAAGGCCTGAGAACCAGGGGAGTTGTGATGTAAAGCCAGTCTGAGGGCAAAGAAGATGAGATGAGATGTCCCAGCTCAAGCAGTGAGGCAAGAAAAAAGGAGTGAATTCCTCCTTCGTCTGCCTCTTGTCCTATTCATGCCTTCAATGTATCAGATAATGCGCAGCTACATTGGGAAGGACAGTCTACTGAGGCACCAGTTCCAATGCTAATCTCTTTCAGAAACAGCCTTACAGACACATCCAGAAACAATTTTTAAACTGGTACAACACAACGTGTTAGCCACTTGGAGCAGTGTGTGGTATAGTACATACTTCTCAATAAGTGTTAACTGTCCTCAAATTATGAATGTATTTTTCCAAGTCTTTAGGCATTGTGGGAGGAAAGATTTTTAAAAATGAAATTGCTTTATACAACCATTTGAAATGTCATTAGTTGAAAATGGTGTTTATTTACATGAGTGAACTGAAGTATATATATTTTAGTTTGTGGAACATAAAATTCACATAGGCACTATGGTTTGCAAGTTTGTTCCCTCCAAAACTTATGTTGAAACTTAATTCCCAATGTGGCAGTATTGAGAGGTGAGACCTTTAAGAGGTGATTGGCCTTTAAGAGGGCAGAGCCCTCATGAAGATTAATTCATTTATGGGTTAATGGACAAATAGGTTATGATAGAAGTGGAGCTGGTGCTTTATGAGAAAAGGAAGAGAGACCTAAGTTAGCATGTTAGCATCTGAGCACACTCAGTCCACTTGCCCTGTGATGGCCTGTGCTGCCTGAGGACTCTGCAGAGAGCTTTCACCAGCTTCAAGGCCTTGGCCAGTTGTGCCCCTTGACCTTGGACTTTCTGGCCTCAAAACCATAAGAAATAAACTTCTTTTCTTTCAGAATTACCCAGCATCAGGTATTCAGTCATAGCAAAAGAAAATGGGCCAAGAAAACTGGCCCTGGAAGTGAGGTGTTGGTATAAAGTTACCTGAAAATGTGGAAGCTGCATTGGAACAGGATAATGGGCAAAATTGGAAGAGACTGAAGGAGCAGGATAGAAAAAGCCTAGATGCTGAAGAGGGATTAGAAGACAAGAAGACTAGGGAAAGTTTAGAACTTCCTAGAGATTATATAAGTGGTTGTGACCAGAATGTTGATAGAAATATGGACAGTTGGCGAGGCGCGGTGGCTCACGCCTATAATCCCAGCACTTTGGGAGGCCGAGGCGGGTGGATCACGAGGTCAAGAGATCAAGACCATCCTGGTCAACAAGGTAAAACCCCGTCTCTACTAAAAATACAAACATTAGCTGGGCATGGTGCGCGCCTGTAGTCCCAGCTACTCGGGAGGCTGAGGCAGGAGAATTGCTTGAACCCAGAAGGCGGAGGTTGTGGTGAGCCGAGATCGCGCAATTGCACTCCAGTCTGGGTAACAACAGCGAAACTCCGTCTCAAAAAAAAAAAAAAAAAAAAGGACAGTAAAGGCCATTCTGACGAGGTTTCAGATGGAACTGAAGACTAGGGTATTGGAAATAGGAGTAAAAGCCTTTCTTAGAAACCGGCAAGGAATTTGGCTGGATTGTGTCCATGCCCAAGGCTGGATGTTTTATACCAACACTCTACTCCCAGCCAATTCCAAGGAATGCTGAACTTAAGAACAATGAATTCGAATATTTGATGGAAGAAATATCTAAGCAATAAAGAATTCAGGCTATTGCATGGCTACTTTCAACCACTTACATTAAGCTGTAAGAAGGAATATGTGACTTAAAGACAGAATTTATAATCTAAAGGGAAGCAAAGCTGAAAGATTCGGGAAACTCTAAGCCTAGACGTGTGGTAGAGAATGAAAGAGCATTTTCAGCAGAGAAAAGCAAGGGTATGACCAAGCCACTTTTTGCTAAGGAGATTATTAATATGGCTAGAAAGGAGCCAGATATTATTCATCAGGACAATGGGAGAAAGATCCCAAAGGCATTTCAGAAATCTTTGAAGCTGCCCCTCCCATCACAGGCCCAGAGGCCTAAAATGGCAAAATGGTTTAAAGGAACAGGCCTAGGGCACTCTCTAAGGGCTTGCTGCCTTGGGCCTCTGCTCCTGGCATTCTGGCTGCTCAGGCAGCTCTAGCTCAAGCGGCCCCCAGCATGGCTCGACCTGCCACTCCAAAAGGTCCAAGCTGTAAATCTTGGCAGCACTATCCAGTGATGCAAGTGGTTTCAGATGCTGCTTGCTGGTGTCCCCATCCCACAGGGCACAAGCAGTAAGCCCTGGTGGCTTCCACATGGTGCTAATTCTGCAGGCACACAGCAAGAGCAGTGAGGCATAGCAGCTTCCACCTAGATTTCAAAGGATGTTTCATACAGCCAGTGGGCCCATACAGAGATTTATTGCAGAGGCAGAGCCACTGCAGAAAGCCCCTCTACTAGGGCAATGCTGAGTGGAAATGTGAGACCAGAGCTGCTACAGAAAGTTTCTACCAGGGCAGTGTACTCTGAGCCACAGGGACAGGACCACCCTGAGACCCCAGAACTGTAGAGATACCAGCATGCAACATCAGCCTGGAAAAGCTGCAGGCACCTGACTCCAACCTGTGAGAGTAGCCACATGGACTACAACAAGCAAAGCCATAGGCATGAGATTGGCCAGTGTTTTGGAGGCCCACTCCCTACCTCAGTGTTCACAGGATGCCTGAATGGAGTCACAAGAGATTATTCTCCACCTTCAGGGTTCCCCTCCCCCACCACCGGGATGGAGTCTCACTCTTTTTTCTGTCACCCGGGCTAGAATACAATGGCATGGTCTCTGCTCACTGCAACCTCTACCTCCCAGGTTCAAGCAGTTCTGCCTTAGCCTCCTGAGTAGCTGGAATTACAGGCACTCACCACCATGCCCGGCTAATTTTTTTGTATTTTTTATAGAAACAGGATTTCACCATGTTGGCCAGACTGATCTTGAATTTCTGACCTCAAGGGAGCCTCCCACATCAGCCTCCCAAAGTGCAGGGATTATAGGCGCGAGCTGCCCTGCCCAGCTGAGCTTCAAGTTTTAATGTCTGCCCTGCTAGGTTTCTGACTTGTTAGGGGCCTATTACTTCATTTTTTTTTCCTATTTTTCCCTTCCCTTTTGGAATAGAAATGTATATCCTATGCCCTTGTATCTTAGAAGTAGATAAATTGTTTTCACAGGCTCACAGGTAAGACTTTGGGCTTTTGAGTTGTTGCTGGAATGAGTTTAGACTTTGGGGCTATGAGGATAGAATGAATGTATTTGTATGTGATAAGAGCGTTAGTTTTGGGAGGACAGTGCCAGTGCCAGAATGCTATGATTGTCTCCTCCAAAACTCATGTTAAACTTAAGCCCCATTGTAATACTGTTAGTGAGATGGGAAATCCAGCTATGCTACTTGATAGGTAGGACCTCTGGAGGTAATTAGGATGTAATGAGGTCATAAGGATGAGGCATTAGTGGCTTTATAAGAGAAAGACCTGAGCTAGCACATTTGGCCACCTCACCATATCATACTCTGTGATGCCTCACGACTTTATTATAGAGAATCTAGTCTCCACCAGCAAGACCCCTTGAACTTGGCCCACATGTCGCCCTTGAACTTGGACTTACCAGCCTTCAGAACTGTAAGAAATAAATATCATTTTTTAGCCGGGCGCAGTGGCTCACACCTATAATCCCAGCACTTTGGGAGGCCAAGGCGGGTGTATCACCTGAGGCCAGGAGTTCGAGACTGGTCTGAACAACATGGTAAAACCCCATCTCTACTAAAAATACAAAATTAGCTGGGTGTGGTGGTGCATGCCTGTAATCCCAGCTACTTCGGAGGCTGAGGCAGGATCACATCATTGCACTCCAGCCTGGGCAAGAAGAGTGAAACTGTCTCAGAAAAAAGAAAAGAGAAAGAGAAAGAAAGGGAGGAAGCAATAAAGCAAGCAAGCAAGCAAGATCATTTTTAAATAAATTACCCAGTTTCAGCTATTCTGTTATAAGCAACAGAAAACAGACTAAGACAGTAGGTGTAGAGGGCAAATATAAAAAGGCAGGGGATAAAATGGACTATCTCAGTCAGTTTGGATGACTCAAACCTCCTGCTCTGTGGCCTTTTGATAACTGGGTCAGGAAAAGTCAAGTCCAGTTTACAGATCTGGAATAATGGAAGGACAGGAACTTCAGGGCTCCCCTAAGGTATCCATTGCTGCATGTCATCTGGCCTCACTCACTCTCAGAGGTTGGGCCTTCAGCTCCCAGGCTACACTTGAATTAGAAAGGTTTTGCAAAGCCTATAGAAGACAGAATGCAGTAGGCTGATAACTGTGCGATATGATTTACAAGTGCAATATTTGAGAAGATTGTACAGAGACTCATTTAAGAGAATACAAATTATTATCTCAAACAAATTAACTAGTGTGTAATTAGGACTAGTCATTTGGTCTTTATATCAGTTTTCTCTCTCAGTCAACATTCATTCTTCTAGTTGCAGTTACTATGTATGCTGCAACGTAATAACTACATTTCTTTAGAAATAGTCCATAATTTGTCAGCCTCCAACTGCCCAAGTTAATAAAGGTTTTTATTAGTTAACATTAGAAAAATAGTATGTTAGGCTGGGCATGGTGGCTCACTCCTGTAATCCCAGCACTTTGGGAGGCCAAGGCAGGTGGATCACCTGAGGTCAGAAGTTCGAGACCAGCCTGGACAACATGGTGAAACTCCATCTCTACTAAAAAATACAAAAATTATCTGGGCATGGTGGCGCATGCCTATAATTCCAGCTACTTGGGAGGCTGAGGCAGGAGAATCATTTCAACCCAGGAGATGGAGCTTGTAGTGAGCAAAGGTTGCGCCACTGCACTCCAGCCTGGGCAACAGAGCAAGACTCTGTCTTGAAAAAGAAAAGAAAGAAAGAAAGAAAAATCATATGTTAATTTTTTGTTGTATAGTTTTGCTTGTGTTCTACACTAATTATCATGATGTGCAATAGAAAAAAGTCAATTTATATACTTCAAAAGCTAATCTAAAATATATAACAATCAAAGCATTGTATTAATATAATTCTTAACCTCTGTTAATAGTAACATATTTCACTACAGTTCTCAAATATATAGGTGAAATTTGGCAGCATGAAAACACTTGTAGTCTGTATGTCTATCAAATATTTATGAAAAAACTTGAAGACTATCAATTTGGTACAAAAGATGATGCGGTAGCCATGGAAATGCATCACCCAGATCTCCTGTGAGGAGCAGAGTTGATTGAGAACCCTAGCTGCTACCCCATAGGATCTACCACTGTGTTCCTGCTGTTCCCAGCCAATCAATGAGAATGGCAGGGCTATTAACACTGGCCCACTCCCCTTATGGGCAACATTGGCTCAAGGACTTCCCATTAGATTGCCCAGAATTTTCTTAGAAACATGCTAATGTCTGAGATTCTTCCTACCCCATGACGCCTTTCCTTCACTCTCTCCTTCACAGGTGTCAAACCCTACCTACTCCCCTCCTTCATAATTCACAGATATCTCCTCCAATAAATCTCTTTCAAACTTAATGCCATCTTGCCATCTGTTTTGTAGAGAACCCAGATTAACATGGATTTTTTTTTTAAAAAGCAACTTAAAGACAGTTTTTCAGAAAATGTCATACAATGCTTGTGATTCTTTTTAGTATAATCCTAGTTTAAACACTTACATTGCTTGGGGGATTTCTGGGAAATTATATGTTGATCTTTTATGTACAAGGCTCATACCATGGAGTGTTGTACATATTGAGTGTTTGGTTAGATTGAATTATGTCCAGTAGGTCCAGTTGCTGAGAACTACAATGAGTATATATATATATATGTATATATATGTTACCTATTATTAAACTTGTAAGAGCAAGCGTAAAGCCATATTCTGCTAGTAAATAACAAATGTTCATTGGATAAATAGAATAGTTTGCAGTGAGAAAACTTTCATAGCAATTGTTAACGATAGATATATCAGCAATTTGAATGATAATTTCAGAACAGGACAGTAATTTTTCTAAATACAAGGTAAGAATGGCAGTGAGATATTAGTTCATGAGTGCTGATTGGTGAATTAGAGGGGAAAATAAAATGAAGAGTGCCTGATGAGTTCATTCATTAACTGAATTGATTCATTCTTTTAATCAGTGTTGATTTCCTACTATGTGCTCGATGTTCTGCTAGGCACTTTCTGTTTTTTGGTTTTGTTTTGTTTTTTTTGAGATGGAGCCTTGCTCTGTCACCCAGGCTGAAGTGCAGTGGCGTGATCTCAGCTCACTGCAACCTCCGCCTCTGGTTTCAAGAGATTCTCCTGCCTTAGCCTCCTGAGTAGCTGGGATTACAGGCACCTGCCACCATGCCTGGCCAATTTTTTTTTTTTTTTTTGTATTTTTAGTAGAGACGGGTTTCATCATGTTGGCCAGGCTGCTCTCAAACTCGTGAACTCCAGTGATCTACCTGCTTCTGCTCCCAAAGTGCTGGGATTACAGGCATGAGGTACGCCACCAAGCCACGGATAGGCTCATTCTATTTGGTGATTAATGAAGCAGAGCCACTCCACCCTAGTGTAAACTCTGGTGTGTTTTGATTTGTGCATGCAAACAGTTCCAGAAGACAACTGACTAAGACTAAAGGATTGCAGGTGACTGTACTTCACCCCAACCAAACCAAAGAGAACTTCCTAAATTTAATGAGACTATCACTTTCTGAACTTTTGGTGCTAGATGACTCTTCAGAGCCGTGGATTTTGACCTTTAAAATCTAAACAGGCTCTGTGGAATATTTGTTAATTAAATATTCATTTAATTGTGTTCTGACTTTGCCATATATAAGCCTCCATGGACATTGATCAAGAAGATATTGAGTAAGCACAGTAATAAAATTAAGATTCCTGGATATGTAAAATTCTTTAAGTCCTTTCTGGTCCAAGAACATTTTGGTGGCCACAATCTCAGGAACTAAGCTCCTCTCAACTTCGCTAAGACTGGTTGCTATAAATGAGTTAAAATAACAATGAAGATGAAGATGTGTGAAATTGAGAAATATCTATGATTAAGAAATATTCAGTATCAGTTGATTTTCCTGTGGGCACTTCGTTCTGTCTTCTTTAAGATCTTTCATTTGCAGGCTGGGGCGGTGGCTCATGCCTGTAATCTCTGCACTTTGGGAGGCTGAGGTGGGCAGATCCCTGAAGGTCAGGTTCACATGGTGAAACCCCATCTCTACTAACAATACAAAAAAATTAGCCAGGCGTGCTGGCGGGCACCTATAATCCCAGCTACTTGGGAGGCTAAGCAGGAGAATTGCTTGAACCTAAGAGGCAGAGGTTGCAATGAGCCAAGATTGAGCCACTTCACACCAGCCTGGGCAACAGAGTGAGGGTTTTGTGTGAAAAAAACAAAAATAAAAATAAATTTAAAAAAAATCTTTCATTTGTAGAAACAGATACCTCTCCATAATACTCCTGTTGACCACTGGTTCCATAATAACATATATTGCTTCCTGCTTCTTCCTCTCCTTCTTCTCTTTAGGGAGGAAATACCATATGTTGTCTCTAAACCAACTTTTCTCTTATATTCACCCAAATCTAGGTGGCAAATTAAAGAAAAATGTAGCTATTGCTATTCAAGATTTTTAGATGAAGCTGACATAATCTGTTTCAATAGTGATTAAACTTTTTGGTTTTGGAAACCTTTACTCTTTTTTTTTTTTTTGAGTCAGAGTCTCGCTCTGTTGCCCAGGCTGGAGTGCAATAGCACAGTCTCGGCTCACTGCAATCTTCACTTCTTGGGTTCAAGCGATTCTCCTGCCTCAGCCTCCTGAGTAGCTGGGATTACAGGCACCCATCACCACACCCAGCTAATTTATGTATTTTTTTAATAGAGATGGGATTTCATCATGTTGGCCAGGCTGGTCTTGACCTCCTGACCTCGTGATCCGCTCACCTTGACCTCCAAAAGGGCTGGGATTACAGGCACGAGTCACCACACCCTCCTGGGACACTTTACTCTTAGAAGCTTTTGAGGTCCCTAAATTGTTTAGAACCCCAGAGAGCATTGTTTTGTGTACGACATCTATCCACACTTACTGTATTAGGAATTAAAGCTAAGTAATATTTAATATACTTGACTCATTAAAAATAACCCAGTAGCAAACCTATTACATGTTAACATAAAATGAAATTGTTTTGAAAAATAACTTCTCCAAAACAACAACAACAAAAAAGAAATTGTGAAGATTCTACGTTATTCTCTTCAAGGTGTAACTTAATAGAAGGCAGCTGTGTTCTCCTATCATCATCTGAATTCGATCTGCTGTGGTATTTTGACTGAGGTATGATGAAGAAAAGCTGGCTTCACATAGTTATGTAGTTGGAAAAGGGAAGCTCTCACAGATCCACTGAGAGTTTGGTAGAGCCTGAGGATCCTCTGACTATACTTCCAAGAACTGCTGAGCTGATTTAAGTAGGAATGGAAATGCTAAATAAGAATCTTTGGAATGGCTAGCGGAACCACACCCCACTACAGCACTGGCTGGAGAAGAAGGCAGCTGCCGCCTATAATGTGAGTTACTTTTACCTCTGCAGGCAGAAACCTGCAACCACACCACATGGGCCCAGAACCCCTGTCTTCCAAGGACTTCCTTTCACCACATTTAACCCATATCTGAATGACTGTCTTATGCAGATATATCAGCTTGATGAACACTAAAGTCAGATGGTTGCACTCTAGCAGAGGCTGGAAGGTGTGCTTTTACTGAACTCTGTGGGTAATGCAGACTTCACACAGAGGAACAAGCAGATATAGGATGGTATTCAAAAGATTTTAGATACAAATGTTACTTGTCCATTACCATCATCTAAGAAAACTAGTTGAGAATCACTTTCGTTGGGGCATACAATATAGATGGGTAAAATATATAAAATTTATTGCAGAAATGTAAAAATAAGATTTAAATAATTCCAGGCCCAGCACAGTGGCTCATGCCTGTAATCCCAATACTTTGGGAGGTCAAGGTGGGTATATCACGAGGTCAGGAGTTCAAAATCAGCCTGACCAACATGGCGAAACCCCATCGCTACTAAAAATACAAAAATTAGCCAGGCGTGGTGGCACACACCTGTAATCCCAGCTACTTAGGAGGCTGCGGCAGGAGAATCGCTTGAACCAGGAAGGCGGAGGTTACATCATGACCCTGTAATTCCAGCCTGGGTGACAGAACGAGGCTCTGTCTCAAAAAATAAAATAAAAAAATCCCTAAAGCATGTTCAATGTCCATTCCTATTCCTTTGAAGAATATTTCCATAGAGATTAGGCTTTGAGCATGTAATTTGTTTTTGTGCCTTACATGTTAAGCATGCTCTGAATGAAGAGACCACCTAAACCAGGCTTTGTGTGAGCAACAAGGCTGTTTATTCACTCGGGTCTAAGCAAGCTGAGTCTGAAAAGAGTCAGCAGAGGATGGTGGGATAGGAGCTGGTTTTATAGGTTTGGGGTAGGCAGTGGAAAGTTACAGTTCAGAGTGGTTTTTGCAAGCCAGGGGTGTCACAGGGTCTGATGTCACAAGGCTGGCTTATCAGTTGAGGTAGGAACAATGGCAGAATGTTGCAAGTTCAGTTAATTAGGCATTGCAGGAGCTAGCTATTCTTCTTTTGTGGTTTTCATATTACCTCAGACTTTCTTACTCCAGGAGGTCATCTGGAGGTGTACGTGCAGGTCACAGGGGTCACCATTGCTTGACAACAGTGCTGCCATATTTGGGGAACCTAACATTACATAGCATTGGTTAATGAATATGAAGATCACTTAATAATAACTTATTAACGTTACTTAAGATTCTGTAACAACCTATATTCTTTTAGATTAAGGTTTATATATATTTAGGCCATGTATTTCTAACTTGGTTTTACCAAGTAGAATCTTGTCTGATGCCTTGAAACCACAAATACTCCTAATTAGCTGTTGCTTGTAAAAAGGAAACGTGGACAGATTGAGAATGGAGTTTGTTATTGATGCAGGTGTGACAAGGAGATGAAAAACAAATCTTTTAGAAGCAACTTATAATATTGGAAGTTGCAAACATGCACAAGGGAAAACTAGGAATGTGTTTTTGCAGGGCTTGTCTTTTTGTAGCTCCTCTGGAAAGATTTGAATTCTTAAACAGATGTTATAGACTGTGGCCTGTTACGTTGTATTTTCCTTAGCAGAGGAGACCACTGTATTCAAATTGGCATCTGAAATCTCAATGGGATATAAAATTTGGATTCTTTGCCAGAGAATTTTTATATTTTGTCTCATCTTGAAGTCAATGACTCAGCTAGATTCCATATTTTTAAAAGCGCTTACATGAGATGTTGTTTTGATAGTTATCCCTTTCTCATTCTGCTGCTCAGAAATGTCAGGATTTCCGAGTAGATTGTCTCATATCAAAGCTGAGCCCTTGATTATATGAGTCACAGCCCTCTATTATCTTCCATACCTACCTACTAAATGATTCAACTAGGCAAAACAATCCAAATATTTTTATTGCCCAGTTTTATATAGGTTAATGCTGACTAGAATGCCCCCTTTCTTTCTCTACCAACACATATCTCTTCTCTCCTCTTTCATTTTTTTCTGGAATAAGGATAGGTATAAATTAGATACATAAAGTGCCTTTTTTGCTTCAAAAAAGAAAAAAAAAAGGTATGACTCATGTTATACATTTAATGCTCTTCCAGCTAATTAATCCTGACTATGATGGTTAATTTTAGGTATCAACTTGACTAAGTTAAGGAATGCCTAGATAGTGGGTAAAACATTATTTCTGGCTGTGTCTGTGAGTGTGTTTCCTGAGGCAATTAGCATTCGAATCAATAGGCTGAGTTAAGAAGATCGCCCTCACCAGTGTGGGCATATATCATCATCCAACTGTTGAGGGCCTAGACAAGACAAAAGGAGAGAAAGGATGAGTTTGCTGCCTCTTCAGGATCTGGGACATCCATCTTCTCCTGCCCTCAGACATCAGAGCTCTGGGTTCTCAGGCATCTGGCCTCTGGCACTTGCACC